ATTTATGTTTTCATCGCATAAATAACAATGAATTGATTTCTATATCAGTGGTAACTGAAGATCCACGTAAATGCGAGTAAGGACGAATAATTTGGAATAGTAGCGTGAATTGCAATCGAATGATAGACGGTTAATTTTAGAATCGCTGTTGGCTATGATTACAACGCGTGGACGACACACGATTCTTAAGAGACGAACAGAAACGAAACGTCGAATGATACGTAATCGGTTTGAAGTGAGACGAAGCGGGAGGTAAGGAAAGCAAAAGATAAACAGGTGAAAAAAATATCGGTGATTCTAACGCATTTCTCTTGAACAAAGTGTATCCGATATATGCTAATAAATCCAATATGACTCTAATTGCCCTTCATTGGTGTAATTTTTTTTGTAGTTAGAAATTTGTATTTAAATATAATTCGACACTGACGGCACTTGTTTTTCTGGACATAGTAAGTTACGGTGTGGTTTCCTGTTTCGTGGAAATTAGCGCGTGTGTCGCTGTTATTGGATTATTAATCGATGATGATGGAAGAAGAGAAGGCGGAAGCAGTTGCAAAGAATGGGGATCCAGAGGTGAAGGAAGAAACTGAGGAAGATGAAGATGGAATGTTTGATGAATCCAGTTTTCCGGAGCTGGAGCGCACTCAAACTGGTCGCAAAACAAGTATCTTCAAGTATTATTCATTTAAAGAGAAAGGTCAGTTGAATCAATTTATTTTTAATTATATTTTCATATAAAAAAGCCGTTTAATTATTTTTCATTTCAAAAAAAAGTAAAAAAAAGATAAATTTATTAAAATTTATTATAATTATTATTAAATTACAAATTCGATGTTTTTAATAAATTTTTTTAAAATTATACAATCGATATTTTTTTTCTAAATTTATTTAATTATTAAGTTATTAATAAATTATTTATTTTTCTTGCCATTTATATTTTAAATTGAAATATTTATTTTCGAATGTTTTTATCAGAAATATTTTATCGCTGAGATAAATTGCGACTTAACTGATATTTATTGAAATATAAGAATTAAAAAAAAAAAAATTTCTTTTTAATAATGTATAAAATAAAGAATTTAAATATATTGAAGAGTTTTTTGTTAGTAAGAAAAGATATTTATGTATTATTAATTGCATAATGATTATATATTAATATGTATAATAATTTTACATTAGTAATTTAATTAAAAATAAAAAAGAATATGGGATAATTGACGATACATATATCTATATTAATATCGTGTGATGTACGAATTATCTCATTTATATCGTGTATAATTTTTACATCTTATATATATTAATTTAGAGTGAGCAATCATATCTTTTTTTTAAAATTAGTCTTATCTAAATTTAAAATGAAATTATTCAATTATGCTATTATTTTTATTTAATATGAATTAAATTTGGAAATACCGGAAGTTTTTTAAGCATAATATTCATTTTCGCAAAAGATAAGATTATATGAATATTCGAGTAGATATGTTAAGTTTTGCAATCGAAACAAGTGTTGGCATCATATATGAAACATTACATATATAATAATATATCGCGTGAAAGATCACGAGATTGATGACCTCGTATTTTGTTAATGTCATTACCAAACAATATATAATATATAATATATAAATATATAAAACAATCATTCTTCAATTGCATGTAGAGATTTATCGAATTATTATGATAAATGTAATCAAATAAATTATCTGTAAGATCGCATGAATACCGAAAATAACATGTAACAACTAAATACATATTATTTTTTAGCAAACAAAAAATTTAAATATTTATCAATGCTAATCAATATTAAAAAATATGAATATATTACATTTTTTTTAAATTTGAGCATTTAGATTTTTAACGCAAAACAAATATGTACAAACATTTCATAAAAAATTGATTTTTTAAATTCAAAAAAATATTATGTAATTAATGTTTATAGAACAGAAATTTATGTATATATATTTATAAAAAAATATAAAAAATTTTGAAAGAAGACAAGATTCTAAGATAATTGAAGAAATAATAATTCATATGCATATTTTAATAAAATTAGATGTTGTATACAAATAATATCGATATCATATAATAGTAGGTATGTTTTATGCATATACATATGTATGTATGCGTTATTAATATTATTTATGTATATCTATATATATCAAGATATCTTTCATAAATGTGTATTTATTAAATTATTCAGAAAATCCTGCAGTTTCTCACAACTTCATGAATATTAGTTTGAATTTCATTTATAGTGAATGAGAAAGCAAAAACTCTGAACTAATAAAAAAGAGCAGTTTTTTGTTCTAAAAATGTATCTATCTGTATTCACTTCTATTCAGCATATTCGATTTTATATTGAATAATATAAGTAGAGAACAAGAAACAATATTTTCGCAATATTATAACTATATATTTCGATGAACATTCGCAGAATCAGATTATGAATATTTTAGTCTATTTTTTATATTTTTATGACCTCAAATTATTACTTTTTTCATCCTTATAAAATTCTTTTAAAAATGTAAAATTCAATTCTTTGGAGGCAATCAGGAATTAACTCGACAACTTTTTTGCAAATAACTAAAGAGCTTTTATGAAAGAAAAATTTTGTAATTATCTGAGAGATAAAAGATTATAAAACAAAATGGAAATTATCTTTGAAATAAAGTTTCATATTATTTTCATATTATATATTTAAATCTATTCTTGTGAAAGCTGCAGAATATTCCGGACTTAATACTTGAAGTTTATAAAATGCAAAATACAGAATTGATTTAGCTGCAATGAATTTATGAATGTTTATGGATGTGTCTTTTGTTTTGAATGTTCGCATATTTTGATAAAAAAAATCACAACGATACCACGTGATTATTCCCACTTCTTTCATATGACGCAATAAGAATTGAAATCCTTGTTAAATTTCTTTCTTCTAAAGAAACTTCTTTTAAATGTAAAAAATTTTAGTAAAGTGACATCAAAAGTAATAAATTTTTATCAAGAAAAAATTTTATGATATGATTGATAATTAATAAAATTGATTGAAAGATTTTTGTTTTTTAAATTAAAGAATATATTTTCAATATTCGAATTGTAAGTAAATCTAATTGTTTTTTTAATAATAAATGTTTTGTGATATTTATGCTGTGATATTAAAATTATTGTTAATGTTAGTATATTGTTAATATTGTAATTGCATATTATTTATGTGATTTTTCAGTAAATTCATACTAATATGTAAATAAAAAATTTTGATTGTTTAATAAATTTTATATAAATTTTGTGTCAAGTTAATAAAGAAAAAGGTTTTTATTAGAAAAGTTCTTTCAATAAAACTAAAATTAACGATAAAAATTTTATTCTACTAAATAACAAACATTGTTTTAATTGATGAATGATATTTAAGAATAGTAATTAAAATGGAAATTTTATACACATCGAATGGAAAATTTAGACACATCGAAAGTGCATATAAATTGCAGTTTGCTAACAATATTTTTAAAAAAACGAAAAATATGATGTAGCAATAGATAAGATTAACGAAATAAATTAATAAAAAAATAATTACATCTTCGTATAAGGATAATAAAATATCTTAAAAATACAATAAAACATTAATCGTCATATTTATACAATAAATTTTGCAAAAAATTCTTGCGCAAACCACGTGTTTGGTTCATCTCTAATCTTACTAATATATATTATCACTTCAACCTAAGCATGGGTTATCGAAAAACATAATAAAACGTGATAATAAAACGTATCATGCTTCTTATGGAACGTGAATACGATAGAATTATTAAATTCATTTCGTTGATCAGTCATATTATTTCAATAGGGTTATACAATCCTTTTACTAATGTTGCCCGCACTTTCTTTTTTCTCACTCTTCTTTAAATTTATAAAACTGTATTTGTCAGGTTTATATTCTTAAATTAATAAACTAAATTTTACATCTATATTTCAGATACAATGCCAAGTTCAGTAAAAAAACCAGGTCCTCTTATTGGAGTAATTGATGTTGGCACGCGAACTGTTCGCTTTGTGGTGAGACATTGTTGTAGTTGAGTGAATAATTATCTATATAAATCGATTTTAAGATAAAATATTATTATATTCTCAATATTAATAATTTAATAACTTGATTGAATGCATATTTTTCCAAAATAACAAATGACAAATATAAAACTAATATTACAGGTATTCAATGCGAAGCATGTAGCTGAAGTGGCATCTCATCAAATCGACATAGAACAAATAAGTCCGCAAGAAGGATGGATGGAACAAGATCCCAAAGAAATTCTTTTTGCGGTAAAGGCTTGCATCAAAGATGTTATACGGAAATTAGATGTGTTAGGTTTAAAAATGGACGAAATAGTAACAATTGGTATTACGAATCAAAGAGAAACTACTGTAGCATGGGATGCAATGACTGGTGAACCATTATACAATGCAATAGGTATGTCCTAATAATAATTAAATATAAGTTATAATTGCAACGTTCATTAATAACTTTTATTATTTTAGTATGGTCCGATATTAGAACGAATTCGATTGTTGATCAAATAATAGCTAAATTTCCGGATCAAAGTAAGAATCATATCAAACCTTTATGCGGTTTGCCAGTGAGTCCATATTTTTCAGCATTAAAAATACGTTGGATGAAAGATAATGTGCCCACTGTTAGAAAAGCGATGCGAGATAGGCGATGTAAAGTGGGTACGATGGACACTTGGATCGTTTGGGTATGTGAGTACGATGTGTTTGAACGTAGAACTTATCTAGAATATGCAAACAATTATTATACCTTACAGCAAAAGGAAACATAGATGATGAACATTCATGATCCAGAGAATTCATTGAAAAATGGTTACAGAATTTAACGGGTGGCAAAGACGGTGGATTGTATATTACTGACGTAACAAACGCGTCAAGGACCATGTTAATGAACATAGAAACTCTTTCATGGGATCCCACGTTGTGCAGATATTTTGATATTCCTATGCAAATGTTGCCAGAAATTAGAAGCAGTGCTGAAATTTATGGAAAAATTGCAATCGGTCCATTAAAGGGTATCACTATATCTGGTGTAAGTTGCTTTTTTAAAATAAAGATTAAAAAATTAAAATATCAATATATATATCAGATATAATATTCTTTATATTTCTAGATTTTAGGGAATCAGCAATCAGCTTTAGTTGGACAAAATTGTTTAAAAAAAGGACAAGCAAAAAACACATATAGAAGTGGATGTTTTTTACTCTGTAATACGGGAACAACAGTATGTAATAAGAAAATATTGTGATTTTTTATTTTTTATTTGAATATTTGATTAGCAATTATAAATTGTTATAATTTTTAGCGAGTATATTCTTCTCATGGATTAGTTACAACGGTAGCTTATCAATTAGGTCCAAAAAGTTCAGCTGTTTATGCATTAGAAGGTTCAATTGCAGTAGCAGGTGCAGCTATTAAATGGTTACGAGATAATATGAAACTCATAAAGGATGTACATGAAAGTGAACATTTGGCACAAAGTGTTTTTAGTACTGGCGACGTATATTTTGTGCCAGCTTTTACAGGATTATATGCTCCATATTGGAGAAAAGATGCAAGAGGGTAAATACTTTATTATAAATTTTTTTTCCACTCTTATAAAATGCACATATTGTTTGATTGAAAATGTTTCATAGAATTATTTGTGGACTTACTGCATTTACAACAAAACAGCATATAATAAGAGCATCATTAGAAGCTGTCTGTTTTCAAACTAGAGATATTTTAGAAGCTATGTATAAAGATTGTGGTTTTCCATTAACCAAGTTAAATACAGATGGAAAAATGTCAACAAATAATCTTCTTATGCAGTTGCAAGCAGATCTTTGTGGTACACCAGTATGTAAGTACAATTTATTAAATACTATTAGAGGGAAAATATAAAATAATAATATTCGTGCATATTAACAGTTAGGTCCACAATGCCAGATATTACAGCTTTAGGTGCGGCAATGGCAGCAGGTCATGCAGAAGGTGTAGATATTTGGGAATTAGAAGGTGAAGAAATAGAAACAGTATCGACTGATACATTTTTGCCAACAACAACACCAGAAGGTAGAAAATTTAAAAATAATTTAAACTATTTCCATAAATATTATATTATTTCTATAAGATATTATTGTTGTAGAAAGAGATGCCAGATATAAAAAATGGAAAATGGCAGTTGAAAGAAGTTTAGGTTGGGCAGCAGTAAAGAAATCTGATCAAATGACAGGTAAATTTAAAAATATTAAGCAATTAAAATTTAAAATTCCAAGCATCTTTATATTTTTTAATTATTATTGGAAATTTATTGATTTATTTCATATTGAATATTTATTCTCTACCTGCATGTGTTTATTGTAAATATATCTAGTACATTATGTACTAGAACAATAGATTCTCTTCTTTTTCCTCTTCTTCCTCTCCTTTTCTTTATTATGAGATAATAAAACAAATTTCTGATTTCTATTAGATCTTATTTATACAGGATATTTTATATATAATATATTTGTAATCTTGTAATATATTTGTAATCTTGGATTTTAGAAGTCAAAACAAACACAAAAATTGATATAAAAAAAATATTGATTTAGGCTTATGAAGTTAGAAACAATTTAAGTTCTCATTAAATAAAACGAAATGAGAACTAAATGCGATGGTAGTGTAATGAAAACAGAAGCAGTTTCACTCTATTTCCATTTTATTTTTTTTAATGAAAAAATTGCTTTAATTACTTATAATTTATATAAATAAGTCTTAATAATTCAAATAATACAGTTTTTTGACTGATTCAATCATTTCATTTGAATTGATAATAATTGAAAGTAGCGTACACGCATTTTTGCATTTTCATCTAATTCTTAAATATATAAATTAATTGATTTTGATTATATATATAAACTGATCTGATAATAGTATTATTCACATTATGGCGCATCTGCCATTTGCTGAATCAATTTTTTTATTATTTATATGCTATATATAGTGCTATATATAGTATTTTTTATTATTTATATGCTATATATAGTATATATATTTATATAGTATTATATATTTTTATATATATGTATATTAAAAAATATATATATATTAAAAAATACTAATTTGTATATTTTTATATATATGTACATTAAAAAATATACATAAAATTATCAATTTCTTCATTTTTGACATTTAATTTTGTTAATAATTAAAAAGACAAATATATTATGTATAATATGTGATAAAATTGGAAACAGTCATGCTAATAGCATATATTCTAATATGTTGTAATGTCATATATATATATTATAATGAAATTTATTTTTTATCATATATATATATCTAAAAGAAATATATTCAAATCATGCAAAATAGAAAAAATAAATGAAGAACTATTAATAACATTGATAGAATAAAGGACTCATTATATAGAACTCACTATAAAAAATTAAATTCATAGTAAAAAATTTATAAGAATTAGAAATTTATAAGAATATTCAAAAAAACAAAATATATATATATAATATTAGAAATTGGAAGAAAAAGAAAGATAAGATTTTAAAAATGTTTGCTTTCAAAGTTGTTTATTATTGAATTAGTCAAGAAATCACATTGTTTGAACTAAATGATAACTAATTTTTTTCATACCAATTTTTATGTTTGTTTTTAATTTACAATTGATATTTTGAAGATATCTTATATTGATATCTTATTTTGAAGATATCTATTTTATAAAATATAATGATAATAATATAGTATTTAATATTAATATAGTATTAATATTAAATAACATTTTATTTTTTTTTTAATGATTTATTAATATTTTCTTTAATTAATTAATATTTTCATTTATATATACAACATAAGTCAATAAAAAATTTTTTATCTAAAATAACACATTATCTATTAGTTGAAAATTGTTTTAAATGAATTATGTTATATTCTAAAAAATTTATTAATATAAATTATAAATAAATATAATTTTAAATTTTGTATTTTTCAAAATGAATTTTTTTTAAGATTAATGTATCTTTTTCAATTCATTTTCATTATAATCAATGAAAAAATATATATATATATAATGATTAATCATATGATTTTTGATTGACTTTAGCCTTGAACCTCAAACTTGAAAAAATGTTGAGCGTAATTGTTAGTTTTAATATATTGCGTTATAGTATCTATTTAAAATTTATCACTATTTATTTCTTTACATTTTTCAAAATAATATATAATAATAACAACAATAATAAAATAATAATGATTGATGGAATATGTTTGAATTGAATTGTTTGTTTAACATTTCTCGATATTTCTTTCAAAATCAATCTTAATGAGAAACAAATCTATGTAATAAAATCTATTATCTTGTATTAAATCTTCAAGTAAAAAATATAAAGCACAACATACAAAACATGTTATAAAATCAAATGTGGCATTGTAGACGATCGTATAATTGATTCTTACAATGGAATCTTAAAAAAAAATATGAGATTTTTGAAAAATATATTACAATTATTACTAGATAAAGTTTCATTTATTTCATAAGATTTCGTTCATTATAAAATGTGATATCTAATAATTGGTAATCATATTTGGCGGATTTAAATTTGCAGCATTTCTTTTCTGACATTAAAAATTACTGTTTATAAAAATGTATCAAATATTTCAAAAGATATATAATAGCATATTAAATTATCGAGAAATTACATTGGACAAATTAATAATTAAGAATAGTTCATCATTATTTTGAAAAACACAAAGAAATTTTTGAACATATGACAAAAAAATTTAGAATCAATTCAATCATCATATTATATATCATTGAATTTCTTTTTTTATCAGTAATACAGTATTAAAAGAAATATATTGAGAAATTAATAATCTTGATATCTCGAAAAAATAAAATATAAAAAAGTAAAATTTATGTAAAATATAAAAAGTAAAATATGAATAACATAAAAACATAAAATGCAACATAATTTATTTAAACATATTTTTTGATAAAAAAATAGATAATAAATTATTTTAGATAATATTTTTTATTGATTTATCTTATATGATAGATATTCTTGACTATTTTTCGTTTATATATGTGTATAAATATATGTATGAAACTTATGAATCTATATGTATGAAATTATGTAAAAGTTAAATTAAAATTACAATTTTACATTAAATTAAATTACGCATTACTAATATAAAAAGATTATAATATAATTATTTTTTCAATGTTCCAGATGAAAGATATTATGTATTGGCGTCGATTCCTGCAAGTTGGTTCTTAATGACAAGTTTTATTTTATTACGATTAAGTTATTATTTGAAAAATCGGTGACAACATTTGTATTCTTACAATGGAGGATCACTTAGATAGCAAATAGCCCATATTGTATTAAAAATACAAATAGTATGGCTGTCAAACATTGATAGTAGATGACATATGGCCATTATTAATTAAAAAAAAAAAAACAAAAAATAGTACAAGATGCTACTTTGATTTAATTACTTATGCTCATAATCTTGTTAAAAAAGATTAATATAATTACTTAAACGAAACGCGACAAAACAAAAAGCATGGAGCTTTTTTAAAAATATATTTTAAAAAAAGAATTTTTTTTTTTCTATCTTTTTTTTAGATACAATATATGTGTGTAATTTGGAAAATTCATTTATTCATTATTTTTTATTGATTGTTAATAGAAAATAATGAAATATTTTCATGAAACATTACTGCCATATTTATAGAGCCAGGATTATAATTTTGTATAATTTTATAAAATTGTAAACATTCACATAATATTTTAAGGCTTTATAAATTGATTAAATTTTTCTAATTTAATCTGTTTTTGTGAATTTCTATTATATATTTAATTTATTTGTTTTTTGTCAAATAATCCATGTATAATATTAAAACTATTGTATTATAAAAGTAAGAATATAAATATATGTTTGTCTTCGTTTATCAATTATACTTACCCAAGTGACGCAGATTACGAAATTCATTAATAAAAAAGAAAAAATAAATTTGAATCTCTAGAACAGAATCTTTAAAATTTAAATAGAGCGCGTTGATGATAGCGCCACAGAGCGTCACGCGGACGTAAGTGAAATCATAATTAACGAGCAATGGGCACGCTTGGTCGTGTCGAAAGATTCGTTGATGGTATCCGCTGTTGTCAGTACGAAGTAGAAAGAGTAGGATGTGGTATCGTACAACGTTATGGTATTTCTCGTGGCTACGATTTCATGAGAAAATTGTTGTAATAATGAATGAATTTTGTTGAGGGACATGCAGTATACTGTATCACGCGAGTGTAGGACAAGTTAACCTAAAGCAGTGTCTGTGGCTTTGTCGAAAGTGAAGTGTAAAAGTGCGCGGGACTCGCATTGAGAGCGAGTACCAAGAAGTTTTAGTGTCGTGGGATATGCACACACATGTCAAGATGTCGTCAGGAGGACATAGCAGTCGTACTCGAGCCGTACACATAGGTTCAATATTCCAGAAACTTCACGGTCGGTTTGCTGATCCTATGACACTGCCGAAACTTTCGACCGACAAGCGAATGCTTGATAAGACCTGGAAGCTTATGGACAAAGTAGTTAAATTATGTCAACATCAAAGGATGAATTTAAAAAATTCACCACCATTCATCCTGGACATTCTACCAGATACGTATCAACGATTGAGACTGATATATAGCAAATATGAAGATAGGATGCAAGTGTTACATAGTAACGAACATTTTTGTGTTTTCATTAATAATCTTATGAGAAAGTGCAAGCAAGCAATTAAGTTATTCAAAGAAGGCAAAGAAAAGATGTTTGATGAGACTTCACATTATCGTAGAAATTTGACTAAACTCAGCCTTGTATTTAGTCACATGTTGTCCGAATTGAAGGCTATTTTTCCAAACGGAGTATTTGCCGGACATAAATTCCGTATTACTAAGGCAGATGCAGCTGAATTCTGGAAAGAAAGTTTTGGAATCAGGTACGTATATTAAATAAAATTTTTTTTTTCTGTTTTTCCATTTCATTTCTATTGTATAAACAGAACACCTGTCTCATTGCGTATGTTTTCGACTCTGGCGTGCGTAAAAACGAATAATAAACGCGCGCTAGTGGCTCGCACGTGCGCACACCTAACCTAAAAATGTCTCTGTCTTATTGATATTGACATTAGTATCGTGCACTGAAAACTGAATCGTTCGTTAGTTTGTACCTGACGCCATTCGCGAAATGTATTCATCGACACCGGAAGTGTTCTATTTTATCTGCAAACTTATATATAGACAAAAAGTTATATTTTCATATGACCTCGAATTATGAAAAGTATTTCTTGCTTATTACTAATAATAATATTTAATAATAATTTAATATACATTATAAATTTTGCTTTTTTATTTTAAATTTTTTAAATTATTTATTGATAAATCGGCAGATTGAAACAAAATTATTTTAGATTCGTAAGAAAATATTGTTAAAATAATTTATGAATAGTTATTATTAATTAAAGAAATTGAAATCCATATAGTTATTATTTATGTTATATAAATAATCCGGTGAATATCATTTTTTGTTATATTAAAATAAAATTTAAAAATAATTGAGCATTGAGCGAAAAATAGCATTAAAATGACATTAAAATAATTAAGTACAAAAAATATAAACATATAACTATAAAAAATTAAAACATAAATTAAATGCTGTATATTCTTTTTATAACATTGTAAAAGGTGAGTGATATAAAAAAAAAAGATGACTCGTTTATGTTTCCGGTTGAAGAGATTGGTTGTTTAGATAATGAAGCGTTAAATATCAAATAACATCTACCGCTATATTAACACAAAATCACTTCCGGTGTAATCAGAATTTTATTTATAATTGGCTGCAGAATATCGAACCGTGTAAATTGTTAAGATGAACCGTTACTCAGTATTGCCAGTTGATTACTATTCATTGACAGCAATTCAGATTCAGAACACAAATGAATGAAAATGAAGAAAGAAGAAAGAAGAAAGAAAATTAGATATATTATATAAATTAAAAAATTAGAGATATATTGTGACAGAAAATGAGAATAAGAAAAAAACAAAAAAATGAATTGATGGAAAAATGAATAATGAAATGATGATGAAATGAATCGATTTAAATCTATTTCTTAGTTATTGTTGAGGCGCTTAATATATATTATATTATTTTACAAAACTCATACACCTACTTTTACTGGAACATGTCATGACAAAATATCGGAAAGCGCGTGCCGTGCGCTCTGGGCTACATGCCGCGTAGCGATTTATCAGCCGGTATAAATAAACTACTAGCAGTTCGAGCCAATTCATGAATGACTGACTACTGTACAATGTCGCGAGAGACCGTGACGATTTGTTGAGACACGAGACTCATGAACGAATAGCCTTTCGTACACGCTTTCCACACTCATTCATTGGTATAGATTTTGCATAAATACTTTGATATTATGTATTCGTGATTATTTCTTTCTTTCCACGATATATAAAAATGTTTATCATTTAATATTTGTTATATGTGTAAATGTCTTATATCTTGTACAAATTTTTAAATTATAATTTATCTTCTTTAATGTTATGATGATTTGTAATACAATTTATGTTGTGAAAATTTTTTGATTGAAATTAAAAAATACGTAAACAAAATAAAATAAACTTTTTTTATAAAACTAAAAGTTAAATTTTCTGTAAATAAACTTAAATAAACTTTTTCTATAAAACTAGAAATTTTTTGTAAAATTGAAAACAATAAAACATAAATATTTTAGATACAGAATTGATAGAGAAAATTTTCGTTCAAAGATATACTTCTATTTTTGTTTTATTTTCTAATTTCTTAAAATCTTTTTTTCGGTTATGTTATTAGACGAAAAATGACATCACACTTAATTTTCCAAAAAGTTAAGTAAGAATTTAAGAAACTTTTATCGGGGAAAGATTCTTGTTTTGAACATTTGTAGGATGCGAATGATTGCAATATGATTAACATGTGGCAAGCTTCGATTACGCCAATGCACGAACTTTCAGTTTCCGGTCAAATGATCCGCGGACATCCGGCAGGCCTTATGTTACGCTTTTTACGCTCTTATATTTTGCTTTTTTAATCAAACAAAACTCCCAAGTATTCCTGCGCATTTAATTCGACGTCGATAAGATAAACATAAGTCATGATTTATCATACCGGAAACAATATTTATCATTATTACGCTATGTAACATATCTTAGAAAATTATCGGTATCTCGGTATTTTTAGTCGACCTTTCCGACGCATAATGCGCATTGCGTTTAAAGAAAGTAATCAACATAGGAAATCGCAATAAATAAAAATGTTGAAATTCACGAATAAAAAGAATTTTTCATTAAAAATAAATTGAAAATTGTATGTTTAAAAAATTAAATCTTCAAACAATATTATCATATCATTCAAAAATCTTTAACTCATATCTGATATCTACTTTTCAGTTGCGAATTTTTTCTTTATTAGAGTATCGATGAATAACTAGTTAAAATATAAATGTATATTTCATATATAAATGTATTCGTCTTTTTAACAAATGTTTTCAATAGCTGATTGAACTAAAAACGGTAGCAAAAGATGAAACTTTATTGAAAATAAGACTGAAATCATTTAATAGTTATGTAATGGTCTCGGTCTATAGTTATATACAATTGTATTTTATGCTAGTCCGAGCTGGAGGCAGAATCTTCTCTTTTCTACTGTTCCATTACAATGTATATGTACAATGATATACCGGATGTGGGCTGGGAAAGTCATATGAGAAAAAAGTAGTGAGGCAGAATGGAATTCAACGAGGTTGAACATTCCGGTTTCTTGTCTCCTACGATTATTTCATTAATGTATCTCCGGTTCCCTTATCCCCTCTGGTGAAAATAATTGAATGTGAGTCTCTGTACTCTTCAGGGGCAAAGTGACCAATGTTCACACCAACATATATTTTATATGATCAAATATTATTGTATCAAATATTTTAATAGAGGCAAAAAGAGAAAACCGAATCATCATCGAATTATAACATCTGATTTAAAACTAACAAAAAAAAAAGTTAATTTGATTCATATGATATTGAATCGATCAATATGTTTGGAATTTCATTGGAAAGAATCTTGAAGTTTGCTAGTCTCTGTTTATTCTTGAGATATCGGGTATCAAGTGCATAGCAGATTTGATGTCTCGGAATAAAGCATCGGATGCAATATGTCGTTTGCGAGATTCGATTGACAGCATTACAATATTTAAACTGTCAAAGGTTTTTTTCGCGAAAACAAAATAAAAGGAAATCATTGAAATTATTATATAGTTTCTCAATAAAAATTTTTTTTATTAATATATAACAATTTTTGCGGGAGTGATGATTGATTTTTAATTTTAATTTTTTAATTTTATATATTTTAATATGACTTTAAAACAATTTGTATTAAACAAATCCTTCTAACTTAATTTTTCTAACTTGTATAAACATCTTTCTTTTAACTTATTTTAACTTTAAAATTAACGTATATAGTTAATAAAATAAAATTGAAGAAAATCTAGAAAAAAACTAATAATAATCGAAATATTTAATCATATTAATTAATCATATTTGAAGAAAATAGTAATAATATACTGAAAATAAGTTGGAGAAATTATTGAAGAAACATTTCATACGTAGGTGGGAAAATTGGTTGTGTGAAAACTGTATTTATGTTAGAGAATGTTTAGCAGAAGATACTATATTAATTCCGGTCGGCAGGGGTTGGAAATGCATTGGTAGAAGTGGTCCGATATGTATCAACTATCCGTGTCTGAAGTTACAAGTAGAGGTCCGTACCCTCCTTCCCTTTCATAGTCGACCAGTTAAGCTTGCATCCGGACGTGAGCCGAAGCGGAAGGAAGGGGACGTGACGTCGCGATTAAAGCGAATTAAGCAGAGCGAACTGTACGAATCGACATGGCCGCGTGAACGAACCGTTCTCTTTACCTATGTTTTTTAAAATAACCGGGTATATCTTTATTTATTTTCATTTATTTATATATTTTATTATTCGAATTCATTTTGAATTTCAATTCGATCAATCATACTTAAAAATATATCAAAATTTGATTCAAAGTTCTTTAAAATAAATCGTTCAGGATCACTTACTTACGAATCAAATAATAGCATATCATAATATTTAATTTTGTTATAATATTTTTGATTTTGTATTCGAACTGGACAAAAGATTCGAAATAACGACAAATTATGCAAGCAATTATATTATTCTTTGAAAAAGAATAGATTGATATTTTTTTATTAAATGATTCTGAGTGATTATAAAGATCTATGATTTCATGCTTTTACGAATTTTTCACTCGTTTTTGACTTTGTTTTCGTTTCTCTTACTTTGCATGCAATTTTAAAGAAGAGAAAATAAAAAGTTGTTTATTTTGAATTAAAAAATAATTGCTTTTTATGGATCAAGATTATATGTTACATAGTCTTTTAATAACATAAAAGAACATAGAATAATTGAGTAGTTTAATTTTTAAGTAAGTTCTATAATGAATAATGAAAAAATCATATTAGTTATTAATTATTAATCTTTTTTTCATTGCATAGGATATTTTATTGAGTTGGAATTTCGAAAAATTTTTTTAACTTTTTTTTATTTAATTTTTTTAATTAATATTAAGCATGTTAAATATCAATAATACTAATTTTATTATAAAAAAAGATAAGCAAAATTTGTAAAATCATTCAATGATAAAATGAAAAATTAATTCCATGTTTATAAAATATAAAGAAGCATGTAAGTATATAAATTATCATTCTTTATGTAATTAAGAGCATTCTTGATTTAGTAGAACTGTAATGTCAATAATATGTTAATACAGGTACCTATTCTCAAGAAAATCATCCGACAGATTTACACGAGCGTGCAAAACCTTTGAACCATTCTTAAAACAAACTACTCCGATCGTTCCATTGACATTTTCCATGAGTGTATTTTTATATTATGTAATTACATTTATTCATCGATGATTACAAATTTTAACTTATAAACCACACGAAAAATTAAAAGCATATATCGAAAATTCTAAATTTAAATCAAAATTGCAAAAAAAAATATTGCTATAATTTGCTTTTTATTCATTATTTTATATATATATAATATATAATTAATTATAAAATCGAATAATAAAGAATTAAAACAAATATTAAATTATCAATAGTATATTTAGAAAAACAATTTTTTTTATTTTATAACTACGAATAAAAATATTTTAATTTGAATTTAAAACTATTACTTATTTATTTTGATATTTTGTTAAACATTTGTAATGATATACATAAATATTGTACATAAATATTAAATAATTTAATTTTAAATATTTTTGTTAAAGTCTATATAATAATACTTTTTTGAACAATGTGAGGATTAGAAATGCCAATTGGTTGCATAGTTAGAAAATGAAATGAGGCACAAATAGAATAAGATAGCTTGTTTCCATCATCACAGCAATTTCAAAGATCGCGAAAAAAATCGTGTTTTTGAAAAAAAACTATGAAAAATAAAATAAAATAACAAAAAATAAAGTAAAAAATAAATATATAATATAATTAATCAAAAGTCAAAATTTAAAGAGTATCTATATTATTGCATCATAGTAATTAGAAACATTTGATCTTATAATCTCGCAATATATTTAAAATATCATATCATATTATATTAATTCGATTTCAATTTATACAATTTATATTTATAGAAATTAGAAACGTTACATAGAAGATGTCGGAAAAGCAGCGATCTATGAATGGAGGTGAGGCTTGGATCAGTCGGCAAGCAAGGACAACTAATTATAGCGTTAGTATCTTTCAGCTTCGTTTTGTACGTTATCCACGCACTGTTGATGCATATATACGCATATGCATATATAGATATATCGCGGAACATTCAATTCCGAGATAGTACTCTTGCAATAGAGGACGTGACCTAGTTTAATGATGACGTAAACCGATTCAGAATTGAAATTCAGGAAGAACACAAGAGTTTATGAATCGGAATTTTTCTTTTGTTCTTACTTTTTTACTATCCAGTCAGTTCGAATTTGTCAAGTACTGTCTTACTGAGGTATGAATTTTAAATATATTGCGAGAAAAAAGAAAGAAAAAAAAAAAAAAAAAAATATTTCATGAAGCAAATTAAGTATTTGCCTTGACCTGATAGGTACTGATCTGTAATTATGTCATCGTGTTACTCGAATGTGCCTAGGATATATTGACCTATTTTCGCAAGCAAAGAATATTGAATTAATTTTCCATGATACATTTTTGTAAATTAGATAAAGTTACGAAACATTCAATTATGCTTGATTATATTTAATATATTATGTTAGAAAATATATAGTATGGGATTTAATTGATGTTTAAATAAAAGGCATACTAAAAATAGATAAGGTCAAGAATGAATATAAATATCATAATGTAGCAAAAACGCATAAAACACATATTTGCTACTATGAAAAAAGAAAAAAATAATTCACAGAAGATGTATAATTGAATAATTTGAACAAAGTGCGAGATTAAATGAAATAATATTCAAGATATTAAATTTTAATGAATAAACATTATAATACATGTATATACGATAATGATATATTTATTCATATAAGTGTGATATTTAAAATATTATTTAATTATAGAAAGTGTAATTTGTTGCTTTTAATGTTAAAAAATGTTGAATATTTGATAATTTAAAAAATTTCTATTAAATAAAAAATTATTTATCTAAAAATGTATAAATGAAATATAAATTTTTTGTCCTTCTCATTACAATAATTTGCAATTGATACAAATATTAATTGATTATAAAAACTACTATTAGTGCAAATATTTGTAATTATAAGATCAAGATATTTAAAAGTATTTTTCAAGATGATTTTTCAAATTACTGGGAGCCACATTTGGACCATGGCGTTCCACCACTTTGCCTTCTTTATTTACAATAAATTTTGTAAAATTCCATTTTATAAAATCACCCAAAATTCCTCCTTGTTCTTTTTTTAAATATTTCCATAAAGGATGCGCAGAATCTCCATTAACATCAATTTTTTCAAATAAATCGAATTTAACCTGAAATAAAATATAATTATATCATTAAAAATTAAAAGATTAAGATTTTATCGTTCTAAAATATAGTAGATTTTTATACTTTTTGTCGATCAGCAAAATTACATATATCATCACTGTTTCCTGGTTCTTGACTATTAAATTGATTACAAGGAAAAGCCAAAATTCGTAAACCTATAAATACAATCTTTTTTAGTGTTCTAAAGAATGATTAGATACATTTATATTTTACATACAAATTATATTTTATTAGATTAATTTATATATATATTTTATATTTATATTTTACCTTTAGATTCAGCATATTCATCGTATAATTCATTTAATTCTTTATAATTTGTTGCTGTAAGGCCGCATTTTGACGCTACATTTACGATTACACAAACATGTCCTTTATATCTACAAATAAAATAGAATTATTAAATATATTCACACGTCTTTTTTTATTAATATTATTTATTTATTATTTACTTAGATAGAAAAACGTCTTCGCCTTTGATGGATTTCGCAGTGAAATCGTAAATCGATTTCGCTTCCTTATAGTTTTCGTTTCCACTCATAGTTACAACTGAAATCGATGTTTAAAATGTCTTACTGCATTAAATATTTTAGGCTAGATATGTTGTAGTTTAGGAATTGCTCTACATGTTTTTAATATTGAAAACGAATAGTGAATGTGAAGAAAATAAAATATTTTCTAATTATAATATTAATAAATTAATAACATTAGAGATAACAATTAAATAAGTATTATTGTTCTTCTATTCCTATTTTTTTCGAAAAAAAATGTTGTTAAAAATTTTTATTTTAAAATTTAAATTACATAAAATTCATTTCTTAGTAAATATATACGCTCTCTGGATTTTTATGATTTTTATTATTAAGAATAAGTTATTTTGAACAATTTTTTGCTATACATATAACTATCAAAGAATGAATTTTATATAATTTAAATTTTAAAATAAAAATTCTTCAACATTTTTTTGTAAAAAATAACAATAACAAAAAACAGAATTTAATAGCAGAATTTAATATCTATTTAATTTCTTAAAGTTATCAATTTATTAATATTATAATTATATATAAAATATTCTAAATATTATATATATGCTGAAAATTTTTTTCATTTTTTTTTAATTTTTATTTCTTTTTTATTTTAAAAAATTTATTGTT